ATTAAGCAGCACAATTGTTTTCAACATTGATAATAATAAATGATTCTTGAGCAGCAAATCATATTAGACTGATTTTTAAAGGATCATGTGACACTGAAGACTGGAGTAATGGAGTAACTCAGCTTTATATCACATGAATAAATTACATTTTAAAATATATTCAAATAGAAAACAGTTATTTTAAATTATAGTAATTTTTCACAATATTACTGTTTTTACTGTATTTCTGATCAAATAAATGCAGCCTTGGCGAGCATAAGAGGCTTCATTCAAAAACATTAAAAATCATACTGACCCCAAACTTTTGAACAGTAGTGCACATTTTATCATGTTTAGATATTAATATCATATTAGTATTGTTATTGGTTTATACGTGTCACAACTACACTACATTATTTTCATTATTTAATCATTTAAATAAAATAATATTAATATTGGATATCATCCAAGTGCATCTTGTTAAATGATACATTCTTGTTTTGTCAAATATTGCTTGTTTATCTTGAAGGTCAGTTTTTTTGGAAGTTTAATTTTGGTGGAAATATGATAAATAGTTTTCTTTGAAATATCCTAACTGTGCATTATGATTGCACAGATGAAGATGGAGATGTAGAGGAGAGATCTTTGACGGGACCAGGGCTGGATCTTGTCCCAGAGCTTGAGGAGGACGAAACCACAGAAACGCTCTCAGAAGATGAACACCAATCAGAAAACACCGCCCTGTGAGGTGGGCGGAGTCCAGTCTTCACACAGCCAATGGAAAGCTATGTTCGTAATAGGATAGTAGCATACTTACTGCATAGTGTATTCTTACTATTGTTTTTAAGGATGTGAAAGCATGCAAAATGAAAAACGTTTTAAACGTGACCTCAGTTACCTTTTGAATAAATTTAGGTATTAAGCATTCAGATTTAAGTAAAAAAAAAAAAAAGTATTTTGTGAGAATGATCAAATGAGTCATCACAGTTGCTTAAAACGTCACAGTGGAGATGGAAGGTCAAGTCGATGCATTGCATTCTGGGATGTGGTACCCAGCACAGTGTGCAATTATAGCAGGTCACCTGGGTATTCAAAGCATATAGAAAATAGTACATACAGCACAAATAGTATGGTAGTATGCTATTCCGAACATAGCCATTCACTTTAACCTTTGACCCCTAGAGAAAACTCTCTCTGTCCTCACAATGCTGGCACATTGTAACTACATACCAGGAAAAAAAAAAAAAACAGTACGCACGTTAACATGCTATACATTCTTAGCATAAAGCTAGTTTGGGTTTTAATCAAGTATGAATGTCTTTCAGTTTTGTGATGTTTTGCGTAACAAGTGTTATATATGTGCCTTGAAAAAACGTACCAAATCACTGAGTTTGTGTGACACTTTGCTTCATGTTTTTGTTGGTTATGGTGAATGTTTTTTTTTTTTTTCAAATTTATTTTAACCATTTCTTTTCTCTTTTAATACAAAAATTGGATAAAAAAAAGCTTCAGAAAAATAATGGTTATACAGATACGATTGATTTAATACATGCATATGATTTGTATTTTTAAGTATTTTTCCTGGGGTGCAATACTGACTGCAATGTAGTGTTATGACATTACAGTCGTTTTTGTATTAGTTTAGTAGTTTTTAACAATTGTAATTGTGTTTTACAGGGTTTACTTTAGTGGAGTATGTACTACCAAGTACCAATTTATTCATCCACTGTTGACCATTAAAATAAACCCTGCATGTACTATTATAAAATACTTCATTCTCAAAATGACCAAAGATGCTTTTTTTGTTTTAAAGCGTATGATCCTGTGTCAGAGCTTTAGGGGGTTTATTTCATGTTGTACGCAATGCAAAAACAGCACTGACAACATAAATGTGAATGAAAGGGTTAATGGATCAGTTAAGCTCAGGAACCGTCAGCGAGAACGCCAAAGTCATTCATTCCTTTCAAGAGTGAGTGTGTGTCTTTATTTCTGTGGATATGTTATCTTTAATTGGCTCTTAATTGTACATTTTGATTTTTTTTTTTTCTGTTTCACCCCCTTTTGTACGTCTGTGTGCACACATTTCCTCCATCTGAATTCTCGTTCTTCATGTTCTCCAGTGCCTCAGATGAACAAATGTTGTACAAATTCATTTTTCTCAACACCGCAACTGTTTTCCGATTATATATGTAATAAAATGCTTAATTACAGAAATCAAAACCAGTTGTTTTTTTTAAATACGGTTTAATTTACAGAAACATCAAGGACAAATTGGTGAAGTGTTGGTTGCAAAAAAAGTCTAAACTGATTTATGATGATATATTATAAATAATATTAATTTATTATTAAGTACATACTGCATGGAGATTTTCTTTCACACCAGTCACAATAAATTATGAAGGACAAGTGACTATGCCCAGTAAGCGAAGAGAAACACAGCCACTGATATACAGATGATGAGGTTGGCGTTTACCAGGTGTCTCATACAGGGCTCTTCCTCGAGGGAACACGTCTGAGCCTCTGGAGGAGGAGACTTGGGTTTCTCTCCTTTCTGCTTCTCCATTCCACAGATCCAGAACAGAGCAGACTTGAGTTTAGATGAACCCGCATTGCTGGACGCAGAACTACTGGAGTCTGCTGACAAATAATGCATTCAGACTTACATGTAAAGAGATAAAAACAAGTATTACCTACATGAATATAATTAGGAGATTTAGTGCATTTTATATCATTTGTTTGCAGATTGCAATTTTTATGTAATGCAATGATGTTCAGATATTAAATGTGATGTAGATATTTAAGTAATGTTTGGAGTCATTGTATGCTTAAAAATATTTCAGTTCCTCCCATTTGTTTTTAGATATTCTCATATCTTTCCCCTCATTTAAAGGGATAGTTCACCCAAAAATGAAAATGTGATGTTTATCTGCTTACCCCCAGGGCATCCAAGATGTAGGTGACTTTGTTTCTTCAGTAGAACACCAAACGAAGATTTTTAACTCAAACCGTTGCAGTCTGTCAGTCTTATAATGGAAGTGAATGGGAATCACGGCTTTGAGAGTCAAAAAAACATACACAATCAAAACCAAATTAAACCCTGCGGCTTGTGACGATACATTGATGTGTAAAGACACGAAATGATCGGTTTGTGCAAGAAACTGAAAAGTATTTATATAGTTTTTTACCTCTGATTCACTGCAATGTCTGAACTGTCCTGAGCGCCTCGACAGCCGGCGCGTGACACGGCAGATCGCAGACTTATAAGTGCATTACCGCCAACTATCTCTCAAGTGGACCATTGACACTCCTAATTGAGATTGTAGATAGTGTCAATGGTCCATTTGAGAGATAGGTGGCAGTAATGCACTTATAAGTCTG